CCAGCGATATCGTTAAATAGCAGCGCTGCCCCCTTTAATCCCACACTGAAATCCCCAATATTGCTGTGTCCTTGACTATCTTTGGGTTTCCGGGTTTTCTCTATCGAAATTGTCCTCACTTTCCTAGAGCAACCTTGTAACCAGAGCCATCCTCTCTCTACATTGGTCGGTATGCAGACAGGAGGCGGGGACACGCGCGCGCCAGCTCACATCCTGATGAAAGATTTACAACTGTGGCCTGGTGGGAAGCGCTGAGGCCGATCGGCGTATGAACTGATATAGCGACATCGCTGTCAGTGTTGCAAGTGCTATGATAACTATCCCAGTGAGTTCCCGTCTATTTCTTCGTGTCCAGTTTTGAGCAGGAACTTACCGGAAGACTGAATCCTTTTGGCTTGAGGTGGACAGTGATTACGTAAACTGCTCTTGATGATACTGTTATAGAATCAGTTGTGCTGGTGTTATATATGTATGATTCTGTAGTGGATATTAAAGTTAATGTTTATGATTAAATCGCGATTAAATGTGTTTTTGAGTAGTTTATAATTTGTCGCGTGCTAAACATGCTGTGGAAACCTAAACCTAAACATGTTGGGGATTCATACTGTATCAGTGACGATGCGTAATCAGTTCGTGTGCACTGGAGATTGTATCGGGTTATATTTTTATTTTTCCTGGTCGCGTTGCTGTTTAGAATATGCGTTCGCAGATAGAATTGTAGTAGTAGTAACTAGTAGCTCTCATACGTTACAATTGGCGTAAGCATGCAACGAGCGTTCGCATTATTCGAGACGTAAACCGAGTAGCGTATCTTTTATAAATAGTAGAGAGTAACAAATAATAAAATAATTTCTTTTTGGCACTGGAAACCCTTACGGTTGGGGCGAATAAAAGAGAAAGAGGAGATGAATAAATGAAACGGTTTACGAATACGACATGGGCTAGGTAACAAACACATATCAATATCCGTTTTCGCGTTTAGGGTATATAACGCTATCCCCATATTTTCAATAACTGGGCACTCCACGGATGAAGTAGCCTCTTGCTTTACTCCTCAAGCCTTTTCCTGTGTGCATTTTCAAGGTTGAACTGGGAGCCTAGGTCATTTCGTTTTTTGCATCCTTGCGTCAGTGAGAAATCGAAGACACGACCGCCGGATTACTGGGCCAGAGGGCGGGCCTGCTAGCCACTGCACCACTGCAGCGCACACATAATTATACTACGGGAATTGGTCGCTTATATATTTTAAACATCTGATCTGATCAGAAAGCACCAAATGACAACATACTGATCTAAACAAGGCATCGACAACCATTTGGTAGTGTTGGGTTGTGCTGATGTTAGGTGCAGAGGCACTCCGCATGCCAACTGAAGTCCATTACATTGTCATATACACCAGTTATCGAAACGGACGTACACTGAATACAGGGACAAAATGCTAGCCTGTCCACCTGAACGTTTTGTGTTCGAATCCCAATAGGCAACTCATCCTAAAATGCTAGCAGGAAATATCACGAGACTTAACGGTCCATGAATGTTGACCATGGATGTATGGTATGTAAAAAAGAATGTTTAGCACCATATGTGCCAGTGTGGGTTCAGAGGATCCATTTTGGAGGCGGGGTTGATGTGATAGACTCACTGTTTCCCAACAAGTATGTCGTAAAAGGCGACTGATTAGTGAAGTTTCCTTCATTTAAGGTGAAGAACCAACAATCAGAATACAAATATGCCGTGTGTTGCAGGCGCCCTCACAGAAAGCAAAGAATATTAGTACTGTACCCTACCAGACATGTCGTAAGAGGTGACTAAGGTTTATTACCTCATCCTGTAAAAAAAAAAGAGCCACAAAAACCAACCAAGCATGGAATTCTGCTCTAGAGCATACCAAATTAGCTGCAGACCCTTTAAGTCTAAGCCCAAGCCTAGCCTTGCCCCTAGTTCTCCTTGCTCTCCCTCTGCTCTCTGTCTCTGTCTCTGTCTCTCTCTCTCTCTCCCCCCCCTCTCTCTCTCTCTCTCTCTCTCTCTCTCTCTCTCTCTCTCTCTCTCTCTCTCTCTCTCTCTCCTAACATTCCTCCTTGTATATGGCTTTTGTAGCTTGTTCTGGAAACTACGAAGAATGTGTTATGAACACCGCTAACTGCACCACGAAAATACAACGATGCAGTACAAGTTAGAGAACTCTCGTCAGCATGGTATTTGTATGCATCAAAAGACCTTTCAACTGGGTCGAATTATCATATTACCCGAATTCCTGGAAGCTTCCAGAAAATGGTTAGGTAAATGTGAGTTTTTTTATTTCGAATTTATTCAACTATACGTAATCAATACTTGGCACCTGAAAATGCTGAACATGTACTAAATCATTGTAAACTATGCTCAAATAAAGAATGAACCCGGGATGTTCCGTCCTCAGCCAAGACAAAGCTGTATGATGCAAAGGGAGAAAGAATATAACAGCAGCTATCAAGACTACTGGCCTAGTGAGATTTTTGTAACAGACGGAAGACAATAACACGAAAAACATCAGAATACTGCTTGCGTAATGTTTCTTTGATTATTTCAAACTCTCCCTTATCCAAACACCACTTGGACTCAGGTTTTCACCGACAGCTCTGCTATAGATGCAGTCAGAAAGGGGGGTTGTGGAGTATACATTAAACCCCATAGCAGTAGAGCAGAAACTCTCTCTCTCTACGAGCAGGTGACATCTGCACTAGCGTCAGAGCTGAGGCAACTGCCCTCCTTTCTGCAGTCCAACATCTCATCACTCAAGAACACAGAGGGCACACTATACTTAGTGACTCATTGTCTGTTCTCCAAGCACTATCAAGCAAAAAACAAGACAAACTAATTGCAGATCTAAGGACCAACATTGGCTTACTCTCCAAGGAAGCAGAACTGGTCTTGCAGTGGATACCAGCCCAGTGTGGTATTCAAGAAAATATGAGAGCAGATGAGCTGGCAAAAGCTGGGAGTAATCTTTCACAACCTCATCCACCACACAGCTACAAGGAAACAAAAATAGCGCTAAAGCAGTCTTTCAAGCGGGAGTGGAGAAGGCAGAATGGAGATTACAGACCAGAGAGTGACAGCATAAACAAACTCAACAGGAAAGAACAAACATCAATTTTTAGACTTCGGACTGGACACTGTGGTCTTCGAGCATACCTGTACAGGATAGGCATAAAATAATCTGCTGCCTGTGATTGTGGAGCAGAAAGACAGACCCCTGAGCACATACTACAGTACTGCCCTTACCTCTCCCAGCAAAGACTGGATCTGGCCCAGGGAATCCACATTGCGAGAGAAGCTATGGGGGACCGGTGGCGACCTTGAACGCACAATCCTATTTTTGACCCAGACGGGACTCAATGTTTAGCATGACTGATGTCGAACGCAGAAGAAGAAGAAGAAAACTCTCCCGGCTATGAGCACTCGAATACAGACAGCTTAGCATGTTAAAAATCCTCGTGTTGTCAGATAAGATCGACACGTCTATATAATTTCATAAGCTAACTGATCTATTGCTGCCACAACCTGGCGGGGGAAAAAAAATATGGCTGTATACGGTCCGTGGAGCCAGACAAAAATGGGTGACGCTTGTTACTGCCACTTTGAGAGAATCCAGCTATTTGATAGAATGGAAGTGTACACACTAGATGCATCTGTTGAACACACTGATAAATAGAAGTGTTCATTATTATTGTCTTTTGTGTTTGCCTTCAAGAATCGTGGGGTGGAATAGTTGGTGCTGCAAGTTTCGACGAGCAGCGCTTCTTATTGTCCCTCCGTGTGAAAGTGAAGGAAGAAGGTAAAGACCGTTTGCCATGCTACTGGCGAGTCTCTTATGTTGTGTCAGACAACTATTTTATAAACCAGTCAGCGCTCTTCTTCTTCTTCTTCTTCTTCTTCTTCTTCTTTTTCTTCTTCTTCTTCTTCTTCTTCTTCTTCTTCTTCTTCTTCTTCTTCTTCTTCTTCTTCTTCTTCTTCTTCTTCTTCTTCTTCTTCTTCTTCTTCTTCTTCTTCTTCTTCTTCTTCGTCTGGTTCTTTCATCTTGAAAAGGGCGGTTGCCACGATGTGTTGTGGTTAACAAGTTTCCTGTGATATCCACACCTTTCGATCCAACACAATCCACTAACGCAAACCCCTAATTAGTCGCCTTATACGACATGCCAGTAAGGGTGTGGTCGGTCAAGGCCCCCCAGCCCACCCCCCCCCCCCCACCAAAAAGTAATACTGGGACGCAAGGAAAAATCAGCACTAGAATAGAAATATAGTCTTAAACACGCTGCCATCTTTCATTTACGAGACATTGCCAGCCTTTCACACACTCTTTTCTATCACACACACACTCTCTTCTATCACAGACACACTCTCTTCTATCACACACACACACTCTCTTCTATCACATACACAGTCTTTTCTATCACACACACACACTCTCTTCTATCACACACACTCTATTCTATCACACACATACACACTCTCTTCTATCACACACACACTAATTTTTATCGCACACACACACTCTCTCTTCTATCACACACACTCTTCTATCACACACACACACACTCTTCTATCACACACATACACACACACATACATATATATGTAATGTATATCTCGTGTTACAAAATACTAGCAGTTATAACATCGTATCAGCTCTAGTTTTCCAAAAGGTCACATGTTTGAGAGAAGTTTAGTCTATTTTAATGTTATCAGAGTTGTTCATAATGTGAAACTAGAGCAGAGAGTCTTAAAGGTCCAAAGCAGCAGTAATCTTTTTTCGCGGAGACGGCATGTCGTTGATTCATGCATGTATGGCTCAATTTTCGTTTACTGTTTAACTTAAAAACGAGATCTTTAATGTATTGTGATTATTATGTTTTTTTCATTCTACCAGTGTGGTTTTGTGCCGATCTGTTGCATGTAAACATTAAAACGACACTTGCTTCTATCGGTTGTTCTGTGAGCTGGTTTTTAAGTCGTCTGACACAATGCATCAGTTAGAGAAGTGGATGGTGTTTGTGGCAGCAGTGGCGTCTGTTAGTCGTGTATACTGTGTGGATTCTGTGGTTGAGTTCAGCACCCACGAGGAGAGAGCCGTGGGACTTGAACTAGGCAGTCTAGGTGATGACAGCATCCTACCTCTGGGCTTACATCCTTCGGTACGTGGATCACTCCGGTATAGTCTGCTCCCGCAGGGCTTCCCAAGATCATCCTTGTTCCGCGTAGATGAAGACTCAGGACAGGTAATATTTCATTTCTTCTTGTATTTTGTATATACTAGTATGCGAGCACAGTTAAAATAGTAGTAGTAGTAGTAGTAGTAGTAGTAGTAGTAGTAGTAGTAGTAGTAGTAGTAGTAGTAGTAGTAGTAGTAGTAGTAGTAGTAGTAGTAGTAGTAGTAGTAGTAGTAGTAGTAGTAGTAGTAGTAGTAGTAGTAGTAGTAGTAGTAGTAGTAGTAGTAGTAGTAGTAGTAGTAGTAGTAGTAGTAATAGTAGTAGTAGCAGCAGCAGCAGCACTATGGCACATCACCTGCAAGAGAGTTGGAATAACAATTTTGAGATCACGCATCTCTAATGTGGCAACTTATGAATTTGAGTCATGAATTCTTTTTCAGCCTTTGAAGAAAAAAATATTAACTTTTGAACTAAAATTTTACAGAAAATTTTTAGAATACCATGGACAAAGAACAAGAAAAACGCCAACATCCTGTCTAACCTGAGCGTGAGGGAGAATTCGTTCATAAACAGCATCTTGTCCTGGCCATATCAATCAAGGGCCATGGTGGTCGTGAGAGAACGGTGTTGGAGGATGCCGTTTCTGGAAAACGAAGCAGAAGCCGACCTCAGCGAAGGTGAATACAGGGTACTAAAGATGCAAAGGCTATGAAAGCATACAGGGGTGGAGAACTGGTCAGAGAAAGAAAGACTTTCAGGCATGCCGTTAAGAAAGTAACATTCTGAAAAGACCTGCTAATTGACTGAGTAGTAGTGGTAGCAGCAGCAGCATCAGCAGCAGTAGTAGTGGTGGTGGTTATAGTGGTCAGCAATAATGCGTTCCGACAAGAATGTAGTTTGTTGTCTGTAATCCGAAGTGTGTGTCAGTGAGTACATTGTGAGAATCACAGAGCCGACAACACAAGTTTAAAAAATGGATCAATACCTAACAGCCATGGACGCTTGGAAAGCTGGGTCTCAAATTCTAGCTTACCGTTTGTTTAATGGCTACTTACTGTCCCTGTTTCGTTTCCCGCGGGACAAGGAAAGTATATTTCAGCAAAGTGTTTGATTTTACTTAGCGAGTGAAAAGGGATAGTTGGGGGTCGGGGGGGGGGGGAGGGTTGACAATGTTAGACAGAGAGCACACCAAAAATAATATAAAAAATAAAGAGAGCTAGAGAGAAAAAGCATTAGAGAAAGAGTTGCAGAGAGTGGAAACACAGAGATACTTACCGATAGACAAAAGGTAAGAGTTTCATGTGGTTGGACAACCTAAAGAGATCTATTGCTTTCATGTCCTACCGAGAAATCGAACCTTGGTGTCCCGTTTGAGAGTCCAGCGTCCCTAACCGTTCATGAAACCGCTTCTTTTGAATGCCAGTTTGGCAGAGTGAAGCGTTCGCTTACAGTTGAAACAGTCTGTGTGTGTGTGTGTGTGTGTGTGTGTGTGTGTGTGTGTATGTGTGTGTGTGTGTATGTATTTACTGATTTTCTTAGGCGATCCCTGTGAAAGGGTCGTCTGACCTAAAACCGCTGCTTATGCAGTCTTTCTTTGTCAGCTGAGACGAGAAAGAGAATTCTTAAAAGTTATATAAATCCTATCTTATTATAAGAAACTAAATCATGGACTATTGGTAGATTAGCCAAAATCTATTTTAAAGCTGCGAAAATGTGGTTTTATAGACGAATTATGAGATTACCCTGGACAGGTAACAAGAATAATGAAGATGTCTTGAAAGAAACTCACTAACAAAGAGAACTCATTGCCCACATCAGAAAGAGACACTCTTCATTATTTCCTCATGTGATGACAAGGCGGAAATTGAAGTATATCATAAGAATGGGACAGTTGAAGAGGAGGAGAGGCAGAGGGAGACGGAGAGAACAGATGCTGGATAGTTTGACATTATGGCAGGGAGGATCATCTTTATTAGAGTTTACGTGAGACAGAATGTTGTGGGCAGACATGACTACCAACGCCACACGGCATGCACTTTCCATTGTAAATACCGTAAATCTGGGAGAAAATGTGGCTTTTCTGCCTACCCCCGGGAGTGAACCCGGACCACAAGCAAATTGTCACCCGCTCACCGCGCAATCCGGTTTAGCCAGCTACGCTAGAGAGACTGGCATGTGTATATATATATATATATATATATATATATATATATATATATATATATATATATATATATATATATATATATATATGTGTGTGTATATATATATATATATATATATATATATATATATATATATATATATATATATATAGAGAGAGAGAGAGAGAGAGAGAGAGAGAGAGAAGGGTGAACAGTTATGTTTAAAATCAGAAGAAGAGATATACAAAAATAATGTGTAACATTCCTTTACCAACAGATATTCTCTAAAGAAAGAATAGACAGAGAGACTCTGTGCGGATATGACGTCAAGTGCAACCTAGAAATCATGGTGGCGGTACAGTCGGCAGTCAGCCAGTTCTTCAAGAAGGTCAAGGTGATCGTGAAAGTCAACGACATTAACGACAATGCTCCGAACTTCCCTCGACCGGCCATGCAGCTTCGCATGTTGGAGAGTATTGCCGTAGGGACCAACTTTCTGTTGGAAGAAGCCATCGACCTGGATATTGGCGATTTCGGAGTCAAGGACTACCAACTGAATTCTGAGTTTGGTGCTTTTTCGGTAAACGTTACCAGGGGTGATTCTGGTAGGAATTTGGTAAGTGTTGTGTAATTTTTTTTTTAAAGAGTTTATATTAAATAATTAATCCCGTGTGGGTCCGGGGTCCCATTGTAGGGAAAACGAGAATAGACCCATTGCCTTCCCAACAAGCATGTCGTAGGAGTTGAGTAATTGGGGACTTCCTTCTAAGTCAGAGTGTAAGAAACTGCCAGCTGCACACAAATAAGTCAGTATAACAGATGCACACGAAAAATTTAAGCTTTGGTACAAAGCCAATGTCTAAATGGACGAACAACCAGCAATTTCCGCCAGAGCTTACAGCACGTGAACAAAGAAGAAGAGGAAAAAGAAGAAGAAGAAGAAGAAATAATTAAGAATACTCTTAGCCGCAATAGCCTCGTGGCTAAACCTTTGAATGTCCTGTATTTGAAACCTTGTCGAGTTATATTTTGGTTTCTTCAAAAATTGGCCTTTACTCCAAGGTCGACCTAGCCTAAAACAGGTACCAGGTAATGTCCTGGTAACGTAAACTTGTCCCAATAATTTAACTTCCTTAAAATCACGTTTCCGAGTTTAATTAACACAGAAAATCACACAGTGTGAACAGAATGGCGGGTTATTTGTCGTCTGCTAACCAGACGGTGTTACAGTTCGGTCAAATCAAAGACGGAATGGTGCTTTTTAGAATGATATGCGTTACTTCATTAATGGGATCTCTGTTTTGGCCATAATAAAATCAGTTTCATTATGTCATACATAGGTTTAGCGCTATATGTCCATCACGCACAAAGGCGTAGAGAAGAGTCCTTTTCTTTACTCTTATCATTAGTTAATGGCCTGACATGGTATTGAACTGAAACAAGTATGAAATTGAAGATAACGTTTTTCTGAAGTTCCCGATTATTCAGTCACATTACAGATCTGTTAAGTTTGTGGTCGCATAAACATCCAATTCTGGTACAAACGATTCTGATGTCTTCAGGCAGCGCGAGCGCTTACACGTGCAGACACACAATGATACAGACAATGCCATTCTTTGTCTGACACTCCCAGTCAATAATCACATTGACCATCCCCTAAAACGGACCTGAAATCACACGAGTGTTCATTGAGTGCATCTCTAGAGTGCATCTATAACAAGAGTACATATTCCCACCTGTAATAGATTTCCACCACCACAATGCGTTTGGAGAAATGTGAGAAGTTTACAAGACTTCTTCACACAGAGCTGAGATAATCTCCTGGTTAAAAAGGTGTCCCCGCTTGAAGTGGCTGTCCCACTGTAAAAAGAACCAATAGAAGTCTGTTGAAGTTATTCTCTAGTGCCACTTAGCAGACACGAGATGAAGAAATCCAGCAACTCCCATTCACCCTGCTTGTATCTCTAACATCTTTCTGTTAGCGCCATGCATCAGTGAATGTAAAAAATCGCAGAGAAAGTGATACGCAAGCTCAAGTCCCTGTCGGGACAAGTGGATAGTGGCTTAGCGAATCTAACGACATAAAATATTGCGAACTGGATTAAAGAGAGAGTACACAGGATTGACAAACCCATTGGAGTGTGAAGCCAAGAAAAAGAGAATGATTGTTAGCCAGCACTCCCGGCAGAAGAATAGACGGACTGATCCAGGAGCAATCAAGACCGGTGAGGCAGAAGATGGTCTTTCTGCGGCTATTCAGGATTCAGTTTTAATGGACCTGTCAGGTATTGATGTTACAATGTTTGGCCTCCGCCGTTGGAGTTAGTCTCACTTTTAGTACGGGTTCACTTTTCTGACAGATTTAGTGATCTTGTCTTTCCATTTTTGATGTCCTCTTGTTTAATATCTCCCTAATTTCAGAAAGTCCTCTTTCCTTGTCTAAATGTCACTACCTTTTTTTTTTTTTTTTGTTTGTGAAAGTCTATCAGCTCGCCATGTACCAGACAGTTGACCGCACACGATTTGAATGCTTGCTGCTTTACATTTATCTTAGTTGTTGACACCGCATATTTATCTCAATCGTTTGCACTATATATTTATCTCAGTTGTTCACACCACACGTTTATCTCAGTTGCTTAATCACATGTTTATCTCAGTTGTTTACACCACATGTTTATCTCAGTTGTTTACACCACATGTTTGTCTCAATTGTTTACACCACATATTTATCTCAGCCGTTTACACCACATGTTTATCTCACTTGTTTACAATACATGTTTATCTCAGTTGTTTACACCACATATTTATCTCAGCCGTTTACACCACATCTTTATCTCAGTTTGTTACATCACATCTTTATCTCAGTTGTTTACACCACATATTTATGGAAAAGTTTGGGCTTTTCGTCGACTTCTGAACTTTGATTTTATTCAAGAACTTTAATTGTGCGTGCACATACATTTTGAGAGATCTAGCTTATTTGTGCGCAGAATGTTGGTTCCTCTCCTCTCAGGCAAATGCACTTAGACTTCGAATATAATACACCTACTTAATTGCCTTTTACGACATGCTACGGCAATGGACCTGTCCTTGTCCACCCCCCCCCCTCACAAAAAAGGCACCCGAACGCATAGGGGTAGGGTTCGAAAACGCACCGGATGGTTGTTACAGTTTAAACGAAGCTAAGTTACCAGTCCGACCCAGGCTAACATGGGTTCTAGGAGATATCCTGGGAAGTTTGATGTTAACATCCTTGTCCATCCAGTGCCCGCTTGTCTGTCAAAGTATGGGTCTAGCATCATATGCCCGAAATACCACAGGTGTGGAAAGGATTCGTTCCTAGTATATATTTTCTTCCAACTCATATCCGCACTGCATACGAAACACATACGTGCTGCCTGGTGAACTGTGATATGGGAAACAAGTTGACTGAGGAAACAAGTTGACTGAGGAAACAAGTTGACTGAGGAAACAAGATGACTGAGGAAACAAGTTGACTGAGGAAACAAGTTGACTGAGGAAACAAGTTGACTGAGGAAACAAGTTGACTGAGGAAACAAGTTGACTGAGGAAACAAGTTGACTGAGGAAAGAAGTTGACTGAGGAAACAAGAGTGCCCGAGCGAAACCTTCAGACCCACGTTAAAGAGAGAGGCCAAAGGGAGTTGACTAAATACCATTCACGATATTGAAAATATTGCACAGAAAAAAGGGCAATGGAATGTTAGACTGCATTACAGGCCAATTAATGGTACTACACGGTAACGCTGATGATAATAAACTCAAAGGTTTGCTATGCATTTAGACCAGGATCGTCAACGGTGCAACGGAGTTCGTGCACTGCGTTGAGATTCTTCAGACTCAGATTTGAGTTAGAAGTAGAACGGAACACTTATGGTTACACCTGTGTGCCATGAAGTTGATCCGTTGAATTAAAAAAAAAATGCATTTACACCAGGTTTTTTTTTGTTTTTTTTTTTGTTTAAAAAATTCTAGTACTGCCTTCCGCCCACACACCCGGCCCCCTCCTCCTTACCGGCCAAAGACTCATCTTCTCCTCAGTGGTAGGTAGGTTGTTGTACCCCACCAGGACATCACACAAGCGATAAACAAACGGTGACACACAGTGCCACCATGCGGATGAGATCACCCATGGAGAGGTTCCGGAAACCCCTTTCAGCCGTTAGGCCATATCTATGTCCCGGTTATATTCAGGGCCTCCGGCAGAAGCCAGGGTGAGGCTTCAAATAAAAAAAAAATTGCATCCCACATCGGGACGACTTTCACATATAAAACAATTGCCCTCAGTGAATCATTTCAGGTGACAATCCTATAGCATCTTCATGGTCAAGTAGGTAACTCTGAATTAGCATAGCCGGAACGTTGGATATTGTCTAAAGATAAATATCTGATGTGAGCATGACACTTTGTCCCCAGGTAATAAGATAATGGGAAGACTTATGTGCCCAAATTCACACGCACTAAAAGGCCCCTACGGAAATAAAACTGTCATCTGCATACAATAAAACGTATGCTAACACGAAAGGTCGTGGGGGGAAATAGGATGGGGGAGGGTGTCTCTGGTATAATGGTTGAGTGTCTTTTTTACTCTCTCCATCCATGTCTTTCTTGGTCTGCCTCTTGACTTGTATCCTGCTGTTCTCACCGTAATAATAAATATTTCAGTAGGAAAAAATTGAAAGGGGTGGGGTAGGGTGATAGGAACCCACAAAATATAGAAATGTTTGGAGAGACTAAAAATGAAACGACAACTGTTGAAGAGAGGAAACAAAAAAAAACTAAGCAAGTGAGATATTTCGGCCACTAAAAATATACAACACTCAGAAAAACTACACTAGAGGGAGACATTGAAGGCAGGTGAGCAAGAGGTAGACAGTGATACAGGTAACCAGACAACATCAAGAGCCAAACAAACATGCGTCTAAGTGTTAAGATGGAACATAATCTCATTTCATGTTTCTCTCACATGGACAGGATATGCACAAGTTTCTTTTCCATTGCGATCCAGACATACTGCAGTGCTTACTACTTCAGACAAGGACAACCTTTTACTCATTTCCCAGCCTGAATTTAAGGGATATTTCTTTTTATAAAAGACTATTGATAATGGGGACACTTGGCCCAACTTCTTTTCTCGCCATCTGCTGGTGGAGTCAAACAGGGAATATAGAAAATTTGATCCCTAACATAATCATTTTCTAGTAAATGTTACTTTGAGATAATATATGTCTGTCTGTCTGTCTGTCTGTCTGTCTGTCTGTCTGTCTGTCTGTCTGTCTGTCTGTCTGTCTGTCTGTCTGTCTGTCTGTCTGTCTGTCTGTCTGTCTGTCTGTCTGTCTGTCTGTCTGTCTGTCTGTCTGTCTGTCTGTCTGTCTGTAATAAAGAAACAGACAGGCACTCATGTTATATATAATATTTCAAGGCTTCTTTCTCCCTCTGTTTATTTATGTATTACCTTGAGATAAGAAAGTTGCAAAATAGTATAGAAGAAAAATAATTTCTAAAAATAAAAGAGGTATTATCCTGTGTTAGTTTCGGGACCCGATTTTAAAAGGGAAAGTGTTGGGTTAGGGGTGGGGAATAGACGCATCGCTCCTTAGCAAGCATGTCGTACGAGGCGACTGTATTTTTTGAATTTAGAGTTTATCTACCTTAGATGCAAGGAACCAACAGTCTGTATACAAATAAGCCAAATCTTTAAAACAGATGTCTACATACCACTCAAGTTCTGGACCAAGTCAAAAGTCAAAAAGTAGACGAATAACCAGAACTTTTTCCTGGAGTCTACAGCCAGTGAATGATAAAAAGAAGAAGAAGAAGAAGAAGAAGAAGAAGAAGAAGAAGAAGAAGAAGAAGAAGAAGAAGAAGAAGAAGAAGAAGAAGAAGAAGAAAAAGAAGAAGAGGAAGAAGAAGAAGAAGAAGAAGAAGAAGAAGAAGCTTGCACTAAAACACGCGCCAGGCAATAGTATGTCAGCTGCAGTGTGAAGATTTATGCTGCCAATGTTAAGCCTCAGACTGCTTATATTTGTGTCATTATCTCTTTTTGTCGGCTCTGTGGCTAGGTCGATGCGAACGTTTCGTAATGCCGGATTACCGGATTACTGCGGGTCATGCGCCTTGTGTTGGTTTTGACAGTTGTATCAAAGAAGCCGACCGTCCAGGAAGCAATGGCAAACTACTGGTCGTAAATTTGCCTAGAAAAACCACACGACAGCCAGGGGCTGTTGTGGTTGGTTCTGCAACGTCCTGTAAAGGATACGCAACTAACCTTTATCTCTTATTCTCGAGGTTAGTTTATCCTCTGATTTGTAAGTAGAATGCGCTAGAGTGTCACGAAATTAAATCTATCTCAACATTGTGTCACCAACCCTGTAGTTTGGAAAACTGTTGTAAGCTGTTTGATCTTTGACTTTCAGGTGAACCTTGTGGTGCGCAAAGAGTTGGACAGAGAAACTACGCCCAGCCAAACATTGGTACTTATCGCGCGGGATGGGGGTCAACCGTCTCTCAGCGGGAGTGTCACTATTGTTGTCAACGTGGACGATGTCAATGACAACGCGCCAGTATTTGATCAAACCTTCTACAATGCCAGTCTGCCAGAGACGGCTGAGGTTGGGACTAGAGTTGCCAGGTCAGTTCATTTCCGCCCTCATCATGAGTCAATCATAGGCCGTCGACACAATGAAGGTTGACTGCAACTGATTTTCAACACTTTTCTTTTCCAGGGCCCTATTATATAGAAAACCAGAATAGACCCACTGCCTGCCCAAATGCATGTCGTAAGAGTCGACTAATTGGGAGCTTCCTTCAAATCGGAGCGCATTTGCCTGAGAGGAAGGGAACCAGCAGTCTGCATATCTATAAAACGGATGCCCACGCAACAGTCAGGTTCTAGAGTAGGACTGCAGTCCAGAAGTAAATGAACAACAAGAACTTTCCGGCAGAGTTTACAGCTGGTGAACGCGAAGAAGAAGAAAAAGACAACAATTTTCTTGTGTCTCTGCTTTCGCTCATCTCCTGATTCTATACATTCTAACCCCCCCCCCCCCCCCCCCCCCAATGTATCTTAGTCTACCTGTTTGTTGTCTTCTTTCATGTTTTCCCCCTGTTGGGTCTTTTACTGGAGTGTAAATATTACATGTATTTTCCACCCCACCCCACCCCCACCCCTTACCCACCACGGCAGTAACCATCTGTTCATTCCCTAGTGTCTTCACAATCCCAACATGTGAGTGTTGTTATACATGAAATGTCCCGTATTCTTTGGTAACTCTGTACTTCTGGGTCCTCCGTTCTCTCATTGCTTGTTCATTATCCTTGTTTCTCTGCCATATGCAAGGGCTCAGAATAAACCCACACATAAATGATTCTGTATTATTAATCAACTGTTATTCGTTCTTCACTAAGAAACTAACTTTCTTAGCATACACTGGTTACCCACCATTTAGTCCATATTTGCCTGTTTATTAACATATCATTATTACCATTTCCTGTGTGGGTTCTGATGCCCGATTGGAAGGGTGGGGGGGGGGGGGGGGGGGGGTAGACCGACTATACAAAAAAAAAAAAAAGCCTGCTGTAAAGAGGCGGTTATTTAGGAGTTTACTTAATTCGAAAGCGTTGTGTCAAACGGCTTAAATATCGCAGTCTAGCTGTAAACCACAATACAAAGTGCACACCGCCAATTGAAGTGTGACTGCAGAAGAAAACGACGCAGTAAGATAACTAGTGTCACCGAGTGCTACACCGACAGACTGACTTTCTACCCCACTAGGACATCACACAAGCGATAAACACCCAATGACACAAAGTGCCACCATGCGGATGAGAATCGCCGTGGAGAGGTCCCAGAAACCGCGTTCAGACATTTGGCCATATTTATGGCCTGCCTATATTGCGGCCCCCAGCAAAAGCCAGGGTGGAGCTTCAAATAAAAAATTTCATCCTGAAAAGGACAATGGAGATTAGTACACCGACAGAGACGACCGTAGACTGTGATCTCCGGCAATCACGAGCCGTGATTGGGCATCTATTCTCCCATACTGCATCCTAACTATATCGTTTTCTATCCGTGGATAAGCTAATTTGTCAATTTCAGGCTGCTAAAAAAAAAGTATTGCTTTACCACCATGTCATTGAAAAATCTTGATAAAGAAGCCCCCACCCCCCCCCACCCCCCAATAATTAGCTCTTTAATATTTTTGTGGGTGAGCGCCCCTTACCCCACCACACCCTCTCCCACCCAATGGATGGGGTTAAACCCTCTCAGTGCTAACTTCGTGGCGAAGTCTCCTTCCATTATCTCTCCCTTTTCTCTTCTCTCTCCCCCCCCCCTCTCTCTCTCTCTCTCTCTCTCTATCTATCTATCTATCTATCTATCTATCTATCTATCTATCTATCTATCTATCCATCTATCTATCTATCTATCTATCTATCTATCTATCTATCTATCTATCTATCTATCTATCTATCTATCTATCTATCTATCTATCTATCTATCTATCTATCTATCTATCTATCTATCTATCTATCTATCTATCTATCTCTCTCTCTCTCTCTCTCTCTCTCTCTCTCTCTCACCACTTGTGTCTCTGTGTATTTGTGTTTGTGTGTGTTTGTGTGTGTGTGTGTTCTTTCTTATATCAATGTGTTGTGATACGTTGTCCCTACTTCATCAAAACCAGTGTCACAGCCACAGACTTGGACACGGCACCGTTTGGTATCAGAGAGTATCGTTTCTCTCCCTTGGACCGAGATGACGTCACCAAATATTTTGCCGTTAATACGTCGACAGGCGACATTACAGTCGTGGGTTCGTTGCTGGAGAAACAGGGCGAGACGTTCAGGTAAAATCATCTTATCACAAAGTGGGAGGGGGATGAGTCTTATTCTTCTTCTTCTTCTTAATCTTCTTCTTCTTCTTCTTCTTCTTCTTCTTCTTCTTCTTCTTCTTCTTCTTCTTCTTCTTCTTCTTCTTCTTCTTCTTCTTCTTCTTCTTCTTCTTCTTTTCTTCTTTTTCTTCTTCTTCTTCTCCTCTTCTTCTTCTTCTTCTGCTCCAAAAGTTAGTTTTTGGTGAGCGCTGAGCTTTTTTCCCCCCATTTATTCTATGGTGATTACCGGCACCTTTCGTTATAGAAAACGAGCCTGTATTCATCACCCTCACCTCTATATTTCTTGTCCACCCAGGCCGGTATTAGGTAGGTAGCTAATAGTTGTACCCCATCAGGACATCACACAAGTGATAAACACCCCATGACACAAAGTGCCACCATGCGGATGAGGATCACCCTTGGAGAGGTCCCAGAAACCCCTTTCAGCCGTTAGGCCACATATTATTGGCTAGGCCATATCTATGACCCGGCTACATTTAGGGCCCCCGGCAAAAGCCAGGATGGGACTTCAAACAAAAAATTGCATCCCACATGAGGACGACTTGTATTGAATTAGCTGTATCTACCTTAAACAGTTTTAGACCTTCGTGCAGCAGATGTGTAGTCATCATTTCAGCAATCCCCACAGTTACATTTACCAATATCTCCTATCTTCATTTTATTGAACAAGTGGCAATTCAGCATGTTTTGTGCAGCTCAATCTCTAAGACTGCTACATGTTCGTCCCACAGTGTCTGTTAATATACATAATCTTAGCGATAACCTGGGTGTTTTGATTTCCACTTGGGTTTCTAAGTGTTGCTTATAAAAATCAAGAACTCCTCACAGGTTATCTATAAATTAGGCCATGTAGTATCCTACAATTCTAAATTTGTCGGCCTTATCATTCTTAGGTATATTCAGTGTAAGTAAATGCATTGTAGTGCAGTTCATGTAGATATATGGCAAGGGGTTTAGTGCCTGCATATATAAATAGTGTGTGTGTATGTGTGTGTGTGTTCTCTTAAAAATGAGAGGTGTGTATTCCATAGCCCAAATGGGTGAGTCTCAGTGCAGAACAGCTGTTTTGTTTGATCCCGTCTGGTAAGTGCTTGCAACAAGTAGAACACATTCAGTAGATTCTCGACCATCTGGTGCAACATTTAAGTTTGATTTGTGATGAAACCATTCCATTTTTGCCAAAAGCTATCAGAGTCATTTAAAAAAGACTTTGATGAGGAATATTGAGGTCCCACACAAAATGTAATGCAAATTCTTTGCTGAACTCGTTGAGCTATTTTGAATCAGACTGGTGCATATGCTAGCTAACCGACGTGTGACGGTTTCACTGACTGACACAACAGCCATGTCTTCATTGTTCATGTATGTGCATGGAAAGCAGCTGTATCTGGCTGGCGAGTTACATCGATGTTATGCAAACCGTTCTCTTTTATCTCAACTATGGTTTCTTCTTCTGACAGCCCTCGTATGTGTGTGTGTATGTGCACGTGCGTGCGTGTGTCAGCGTATGTACATAAAAAAGAAAATAGAGCCAGAGAGAGGTTGGTATAAAGGGAGACAGGTAAATGACTGACACATAGAGGAGAGAGATATAGACCGACACCCAGACAGACAGACAGACAGACAGACAGACAGACAGACAGACAGACAGACAGACAGACAGACAGACAGACAGACAGACAGACAGACAGACAGACAGACAGACAGACAGACAGACAGACAGACAGACAGACAGACAGACAGCCAGACAGACAGACAGACAGACAGACAGACAGACAGACAGACAGACAGACAGACAGACAGACAGACAGACAGACAGACAGACTGACAGACTGACAGCCAGACTGACAGACAGACAGACAGATAGATAGAGAGACAGAGAGAGAGAGAGAGAGAGAGAGAGAGAGAGAGAGAGAGAGAGAGAGAGAGAACAGGACAGGACTGGACAGAGTGACTGTTGAAATCTAAAGATTTTGAATATCCTTTCCCTTGGTTTTTTTTTTCCCCTACGTAGGCTTTTAGTGGAATGTATAGACAAAGGGTTTCCTCCCCTGGTGTCCAGGGCGGAAGTGGACATCACAGTTGAGGACACCACAAACAGCGCCCCAATCATCAACCTCAACACCATGTTTGGGGGCGCAGTCTCTGAGATGGCGCAATCTGGTGAGTTCCTGTTACCTACATAGCTTAGCTCACTTATTATTAATTGCCTAGCTTCGCCTAGGATAACGAAATAAAGTTTTATTCTCCCGTCCTCTACTTCATCTTGGTCTCCACCGCTGCCGTATGTGTGGTAGAAACTTAACGGAGGAGCGAGCACAACATGTGCCTTCCGTCTTCAATTTTATTTCGGATGCCCTTGTTTTCTCAACCCTTTAATGTCCTATTTCAGTGTCTATTTGTTGAATCTATATTGGTCTCTTCTCAGAATTTCTGTAGCAAATAGATTTATTTTTTTAAACAGGGAGCGGAAACTGGCCCCTTGCTGGATCGGTAGAGCCTTCTAGACGAGGTCTCTCCAAGTTAATAACGCAGTGACCTGGCCTGTGACTCCGGGTTTTAATTCGACATGCTGCTAGTCCACCAAATCTGACTGATAAAACAACCTCCTCCTCTAACATTTCTATCTGAGTTTCAAGGGAGATAACAGCGAAATTTGACTTTAAAAAAAAAAAACGGGATGTAATAGGGAAAAGATATTTAAGGGAATGTAACTCCTGAAAGTTTACTTCTACTGACTGTTGCAATGAATAAAGAAAATGCACATAAACCTGGTCGTTGGTGTGACTGTTAAATTAAACATAGTTATAATCATTTTAATAATGGCAGCTAAAAATTTGGTGTGTGTAGTGGTCATGGTTTGGGCGGGGTTAACAGGTGAGTTAAAATGAACACACAAAATACAGAGAAGTTTTGTGATTTATTAGTTCGAAAAAAATTACTCCACGGCTTCTGAGATCCACGGGTTAGAAATAGTAATCTTTTGTCATCCCTCTGTGGGATGCAATTTTTCGTTATTTGAAGTCCTACTCTGGCTTTTGCCAGGGGCCGCAATATAGCCCGGCTGAACGCGGTTTTTGGGACCTCTCCACGGGTTATCCTCATCCACATGGTGGCACTTTGTGTCATCGGGTGTTTGTCGCTTGTGTGATGTCCTGGTGGGGTAAAAGAAGATAGAAAAATAGTTAGAAACAGTTACGCATGACATGTTTCTTAGGACTGAAAGAGGTAAAATAAAACGCTAGCCCTAGGATCTCGAGACCTAGCACATTGTTAAACACACACACACTAATCTGTTGCCTATAAGTTGCACACATTACGCGAAAAAAAAAAAGAAATGCTGGATAAAATTTATTGTAATAAGTTCCTTTCGGTGTTTAGCCATAGAGTGTTTGAACCTGCGTCTGTTTCAGGCACTGTGGTGGCATTGCTGGTTGTTGTGGATCGAGATGCCGGTCTTAATGGCATCGTGACCTGTTCCATTGTCAGTGACGCGTTTGAGCTACAGGCTTTGTCGGCGAACGAATACAAGGTGATTGTTGTCAGAGGGCTCGACAGGGAGGCCGAGCCGGTTCTGGAGGTGTCTGTTGCCTGTCAGGATGCGGGGACGCCACCGCTACTAGGCACTGTCAGGTTCAGCGTTAAGGTAAATATCCTTGTATTTTGCTCTTGCTGGTTGTTACTGTTTCTTGGTTGGCCGCTAATGCGTCCTTCAGTGAGGGACAGATTCATTTCATTTTCAATGGCACAGGAACGGAGCAAGTCTGGGAGTGACCCGATTGCAGCGAAGTTGAATCCTCCACTAAGACTGGGAGTAAGACTAAACGGCGAAAGAGTGGAAGGAGAAGTGGAGAAGAAGAAGAAGAAGAAGAAGAAGAAGAAGAAGAAGAAGAAGAAGAAGAAGAAGAAGAAGGAGAAGAAGAAGAAGAAGAAAAAGAAGAAGAAGAAGAAGTTAAGGAAGAGAAGGGTGACGAGTTTGGTTGTTCGCTTGTAGATCCACTAAAAGAAAAAAGGTCTCTAGATATGTACTTTCTTTGGTAGTGTCCACACATTTTATTCCCCATTTTAGAGAAAACGAGAATAGGCCCACTGCCTACCCGAAGCATGTCGTAGGAGTCAACTAATTGGGAGCTTTCTTCGAAGTCGGAGTGCATCAGTCCTAATAGGCAAACAACTAACAGTCTGCATACAGATGAGTCAGATCTGTAAAACGGATGCACGCGCAGCACTCAGGTTCTGGAACTGGACTACAGTCTATAAGTTGACAAAGAACCAAAACTTTCCGCGTGAGTTGACAGCTGGTGAACGTGAAGTAGTAGTAGTAGAAAAAGAAGAAGAAGAAGAAGAAGAAGAAGAAGAAGAAGAAGAAGAAGAAGAAGAAGAAGAAGAAGAAGAAGACGAAGAAAACGAAGAAGAAGAAGAAAAAGAAGAAGAAGAAGAAGAAGAAGAAGAAAAAGAAGAAGAAGAAGAAGAAGAAGAAGAACAAAATGAAGAAAAAGCAGAGAATAGATTATTATTAGTATTAACATTATTTTTTATACTTGTATTATTATTGTTATTATTATTATTATTATTATTATTATTATTATTATTATCTGAAACTGACTAATCTTTGGCACTTTTATCAGGTCAAGGATGAGAATGATAACCCGCCATATTTCAGTGAACGGGTCTATCAGCGAAGCATCCCAGAAAACAATAGACCAGGACAGATCCTGCTTCGAGTGACAGCCGAGGACAGAGATATTGGCGAGAACGCGCGGATTACGTACAGTCTTGTTGACGCCAACGATCTCCGCATCGACAACAGAGGAAACATCATCGCCATCAGCTCTCTGGACTACGAAAAAGCGACCCAGCTGAAGATGAAAGTGGTGGCTAATGATAACGGGGTGGAGCGTCGTTCCGCAACAGCAGACGTTGTCATAGAGGTGACTGACGTAAACGACGAGGCTCCGCGTTTTGAGAAATATCTGTACGAGTTTGAGGTAATGGAGAACTTGCCTGTCAACACAACAGTTAACTCTGTAATCGCCAAAGATAAAGACAGCGGAGAGAACGGCAAAATTCAGTATTCAATATCGCAGAAAGATTACCCATTTGACATTTTACCCAACGGTGTCATTGTCACTAAAGAAAGCCTGGATAGAGAACAAAGTGAACGGTATACACTGGTACTTTTTGCCGCGGACAGAGGCCAGCCATCACTAACTGGGACTGCTACAGTGATCATCACTGTTGGAGACCAAAACGACCACATTCCTAGAATAGTTTATCCTAAAAGTGGCAACAGTTCTGTTGTTGTTGCTTTCGATTCTAAACCCGGATCAGTAGTTTTAAATATTTTGTCTGAAGATGGAGACACAGGTCCCAACAGACAGTTAGAGTACCACTTAGCTTCCAGTTCTGGACGTTCAGTGTTTGAACTTAGCAAAGACAAAGGGGAACTCATTCTTAGAAGGTCTTTGGCGCTGCAGGATGTAGGACGCCACCGTTTGACCGTGGTCGTCACCGACCAAAGTCCTGTGTATCCTTTGGCTTCAAACTCATCATTCGATGTGATTATATTTGCTCCAAATGAGACAGAATCACCAGCGAAAGACAAAGAGAAAGAGCATATTATGGTTGTTATTATTCTGGGAGTAATAACAGGTGTTGTTACAGTTGCTGTTATTATTACTATTGCAATTATACGACGGGCTGATTTACAGAGAAGAAAATACCTACAAGGTAGAGTTAAAGTGGACAGAAACGTTGAGAAACTGGAAGCTGATAAAATAAGTGTGGGATATGTCATCAGTAATAGTGTTTCTGACGGGTCCAAAAGCAAGGGAGTTCAGGATGATGAAAATGGGTCTAAAGATCTCACAGACGATGGTTTCGGTGACAAGCCGGTGAGTCTATTGTTTGTTTGTCTGTTAGTCCCACAGAAAATGGTGTTGTGTGATCATGGAGAACAGGCGCATCATCATCACCGTCTTTGTGAAGTGATTTGCCGACTGGCGTGGGCGATCACTCTTCTCCACATCCTAAAACCTCCAGCAGCAAGTATCAGTTCGTTCAGGCTGACAGGAACAAGAATAAGTTGACCCTTATCAACAAGTATCTTTTGCCGTGTTAAAAGTATCACACGTTTCTGACCTCTTTGTCTTCCTCTATGTTTTCCCTTCTGTAAATTCGCTCAATTTTCATTCTTTAAAAAAAATCAAATCTCATAATAGGAAGATTGTTTAAATATAATAAGGGATGCCTCTTTCTGATGTTTGTGATAAGCTGTCTACAAAACTTCCGATTTAGTCGTCATAGAAATATTTAAGCATTCTACTGTAAAAGCACATCTCTGGGAATTCCAGGAATTGATATGGCTTGTTTACCAATTGTTAATTGTTTACTTATTGGAAATAACATAAGAGATGTACATAATGCTTTTGTAAAGTTTAAAAAGTCAGATGACAGTGTACATAGAAAGTTTATGGAATGCTATGAAGAACTTTGGAATACCAAAGTAGTTGATCCCCATTTATTACGCTTCTCTCCCACTTGGACCTGGAAGAAAATGATACGATATTTTAAAGAAGAGTTTACTATAGTAGACACTACAATAATACTTGGTTATGCAATTGGCATTGGTGTCGTTAGAGAAAATAGTCAACAGACGGTAAAAACATTGACTCTTTTGAAAGAACCAGCTCCCACAGTGCGACTAGGTATCAGTCAAGAGAAGTCAAGTACATGATAATTACAAGGCAGGGAAAGGATATAAACTCCGGCCACATACAAGCCGATATTACGAAAATCAACGAAACGGAAATATATTAGTGCGTGTGTGCAAATTCTAACCGCTCCAACATGCTGGGAGGAAAAATACAATACAATCTAGAAATAAAGTTTAATATGCCCTTCTACATCTGCGGAAGCCAAAGTCTCTATCTCCCAACACCAAAGTTCACTTTTTTTTTTTTATCGATTGAATCAGTTTGTTTACATAATTGTTGTGTAAAAATATGATTAACAGAGGCTTTATCTCTAAAACTCGTTTTGCAACATATTTTGGCGCAACACTGTTTGAGCGTTGCCAACACCTTTTCTAAAATGTCCAGATTTCCCCGCCGGTAGTTCGAGTGTATAATTACACTAGAATTCTCCGGTTTGAAGTTTAGATTAAAAACCATCATCACAGTGAATGACAAGCTACAGAAGAAGGAACATTCGTTCACAGCATTCAATGTGCGGAAGTGTCAGGTTTTAATGTAGTCTAACGTGTTAAGAAAAAAGGCACCAGGAAAGGTAGAATGGAAGCTATCGGTTCATAGTTTGACAGAGCAACCTAAACATTTAGGGCTGGGTAGCTTGCAACGTCAGGAAGCAAAAAGTAAACATCCACATGGAGTTCTTTCATGTGTGGCTAACTTGAGGATGTCACAAGCCATCCGTCATTCGGCGTCTGCTTGGGGCACACACGAAAGTTTTTCGTGAAAAGTTCCAACTGGAAAACACGTGATGTCTCGCGTTGAGGAAATTATTCTATTGCTTCCTTTTTCGTCTTCTTCTTTTTCACCTTCTACTTTTTATTCTCCTTCTTCCTCCTCCTTCTTTTCTTCTTCTTCTTCTTCTTCTTTTTCTTCTTCTTCTTCTTCTTCTTCTTCTTCTTCTTCTTCTTCTTCTTCTTCTTCTTCTTCTTCTTCTTCTTCTTCTTCTTTTTTCTTCTTCTTCTTCTTCTTCTCCTCCTCCTTATTCTCTTCTTTTTCTTCTTCTTTGTCTTCTTCTTTTTCTTCTTCTTCTTCTTCTTCTTCTTTTTCTTCTTCTTCTTCTTCTTCTTCTGTTTTCTTCTCTTTCTCCTCTTCCATTTCCTCCTTTCTCCGTTTTCTTTTTACATGGGGGGTAAAAGGGGGGGGGGGGGGGGTAATATTTATTTTAAAGAAACTGCGCTGTCTTCCATCCACGTGGTACATTGTCTTACTCTACGTGGCACATTGTCTTACGTCTACGTGGCACATTGTCTTACATCCACGTGGCACATTGTCTTCCAACCACGTGGCAAATTGTCTTCCATCCACGCGGAACACTGTCTTCCATCCGCATGGACAATTTTTTTCCATTCACGTGGCACATTATCTTACATTCACATCGCACATTGTCTTACATTCACATGGCACATTGTCTTACATTCACATGGCACATTGTTTTACATTCACATGGCACATTGTCTTACATTCACATCGCACACTGTCTTCCATCTGCATGGCACATTGTTTTACATTCACATGGCACATTGTCTTACATTCACATGGCACATTGTCTTCCATCCATATGACACATTGTCTTCCATCCACATGGCACATTGTCTTACATTCACATGGTACATTGTCTTACATTCACATGGCACATTGCCTTACATCCACATGGCACATTGTCTTACATTCACATGGCACAATGTCTCTAATCCGCATGGCACATTGTCTTACATCCACATGGCACATTGTCTTCCATCCACATGGCACATTGTCTTCCATCCACATGGCACACTGTCTTCTTCTCAACAGTCAAGCTAAGGTTTCATATAATAACACTTGCGGGCGGTCAAATGTGTTTACAGCAGGAAGTCTGCATGAATGAAGTTCAACCCCACCAGGACCGCACAACGAGCGATAAACACCCGGTGACACAAAGTGCCACCATTCTGATGAGAATCACCAGGGCGTAAGTCCCAGAAGCCTCGTTCAACCGTTAGGTTATATTAGGGCCTCCGACAACAACCGGAGTGGTGCTTTCAAATAATGAAAAATTGCGTCTCATATTGGGACGACTTGCTTGTATGTCTAAAGGAATTATCTCAGTTGGTTGGTGGGGAAAAAAGGGGGAGGGGAGGTGGGAGGGGAGTGAGGGGTATACCAAGAAAGAATATATATATTCTTATGCATATCTAGATTTGTAGTATTTGACAAATCGCTTGCTCCTTTGCCAGGTTTCAACTCCATGTGATACTGAGGAATTTACGCAATAGTTGCAATTTCTCATTTTTCCATGTTTTGTTTGTGACAAGATGTTCATATTTGTTCATGTTGTTGAAACTAATTTTTGGTTGTCCCTTCATGTTAGTTTTTTGTTTTAATTATTTTCATTTCACCTTTGTCATATAAGACCATGGTTACTTTGTTACCGAATTTCCTTGTTTACTATTTAAAAAAAAAAAGTAATTGTGTAAGTAATAACGGATCAGCGTAAGTGTCACTGAGTTCATAGGGTTTAATTTTTAAATATAAACTCGAATATGTGTGGGTTTACCGTGTGTAAAATGAATATTTGATTACAACAACAACCACAACAACAATTACTACTCTACTACTATTACTACTACTACTACTACTACTACTACTACTACTACTACTACTACTACTACTACTACTACTACTACTACTACTACTACTACTACTACTACTACTGCTGCTGCTGCTGCTGCTGCTGCTGCTGCTGCTGCTGCTACTACTACCACTACTACCACTACAACTATTAGCATTGTATATTTCGTTATGTAAAACATCTCTTTATTGAGTGCATGTTTTTTGTTAGTAACTGTATAACTATAAGAAAGAAAAAAACGTAGCTTTAAAGACAGAAAAGCAGGAGAGGAGGGAATACAGACAGAGAGAGAACAAATACAAAAATGCTATAAATATCGAAGATAAACACACAAATGTCATTTACAAATAAAGCTACGTAAACTCACATTCAGGATTGATAAAGTCAACTGCCAAAACCCAGCTCAGCCGGCCACTGATGGCGGGTGAGCACTAAATGAAATCCCGGAAGCGGTCAGGGATGTTATTAAGATACCAGGTTGAAGGAGTTCCCCAGGAGGGACACTGGCTGGAAGGAAGCAGTCCGCGGATAGTGGTTTCTCCAAATGAGATCACCCGGTTATAGATCTGTAGGAGAGATAGTGGGGCAGTCTCAGTCATGTTCTAGAAACCACAAGAAATAATAAAAGGGAGAAAGACGGACACTAAGGGCAGTTCTAGACTTGCGTTCAAGGTTGTTTGTTGCTTTTCTACTTATATAACTTATTTGTCTGTACTTCTTATGTAAGTAAAGTAATAAACCCCTTTACGCTTCTTCAGGTACATTGTGTATATGGCGCTAAACCTATAGTTTATCGACCAGTCGGCACTCGGTGGGTGATGTGGTCAACAGCATGCCGGCAGTCTTTACTTCCCATGACTTTACCTGGTGCCCATTTAATGCTGGGTCGACCTGAGGGTCAAGAGACTTTTGAAAAAGTCCTGTTCCGTTCGGATTTGAACCCACAAATTTCGGATCCGCAAGCGAGCATCTAGCCGCTACACCGTAGCGGCTCCAGAACTACTTATAAAATAATGATAATTACACAGAAAGTAGGTCTTCCAGAATGAGACATCAAAGTAAGTGGCACAATCCCGAATCTTGTTTATCTTACGTACTTGGATACTCTGTCAACATCAGATGGAAGATGTGTTTAAAAAAAGTTACGTGTAGAATAGCCCAAGCGAAAGGCAGCATTTCACAAAATGAAGAAACATTCTATGCAATCTCCCTTTGTCAACTGAGGTGAGAAAGATAATTTTCAAAAGCTATTATATATAAATCTTATCCTATTATGAGGAAGTCAGTTATGGACAGCTAGCCGATTAGAGAACAATTATATGGAAGCAACATTATAGAGTAAGGATAGAACACACGGGATAGCTAAAAGGAGAAGTGGGGATGTCTTGAGAGAAACTGACTCATGAAGGGAACAGATTGCCCACATCAGAAGGTGACAATCTACATGCTTTGGTCATGTCATTTGAAGTAAAAAAAAAACTGGAGTACATCGTGACAGTGGAAAAGTTGGAGGGAAAGAGAAGCAGAAGGAGACCGAGAGAGAAGTTGC